TGGTTCTAGTTTGTTCATTAGATCAAGCTAAATTTCCACTAAGACTGTCAGTGTCACTAGCCTCTGATCTGAAACGCCTTCAGTTGCTTTTGTAAACTTAGTGTGTCCTTTTAGAATCTTTGCATGTAATGTGATGTTTTGATCAAAGTCCTCTGGCTCAGTGCAGATTTCATCAGTTGGATGTAGACTTCCTGAGAGTACGCAGACTGTCTCTGGGAAGATGAGCTATCAGTTCTAAGGGTTTATCTACATGGGGAAATTGACCAGAATAAAATAAATCACTTTATTGTGGAATAATTAGGATGTTTCCAAACTGGTGTAATTATTCTGGAATAAAAGTGATTTTTATTTGAGAACAGTGCCAAAATGGGGAGCGGTTGTGGCATAGCTTATTTTGCAATAGGTATTATGGTCAATGTCTCCATGTGAACAAGCCCTAATACAACCAACTGTGAAGCTGATGGTGGCTATGGAAGAATTTTTGAAATTATGCAATATGTCTTAGTACTGCGGGGTATTTTGCTTTCTCAATAAGGCTTAAATAGTGTGCCGAACACTATATGACAAGTTCAAGATGAATGGACCTGAGATGTTCTCTAGTCTTTATTTTAGTTGTCTGTGCAATTAGCAAAGATCTGCTCACCTCTGCATTCTTAGCAATTTACATGCAGCATTTCATCCTTTTTCTTTTCAGATTAGAATCAGTAGCTTTAAGTAGAATACATTTGTCCCTTTGCAGATGCTTCTAGTCATTGTCAGTTCTCTTGTTTAATTCAGGATAGGGCATTAGTGTCAATGTCGTTTCATTTAATTTTTCCTGTTCTTCACTTCTGTATCTAATAGTGGACCTGTGAATTTGAATCTGTCCCGCATATCTAGGAGAAAGCTGTATCTGCTTCTTAAGTTGCTCAGTTGTGCTATATTGAAGGTGTTGATAACATTTTAAAAAAATCAAGTCTTAAGTTATGGTTGTCTCCATGGTTTAGGCCTAGATTAATCATTGCCATTTTTTGGATGTTGAAGAGAAACAGACTCTTCCTGGATGAACATGATGCTGAAAAGTTGCTGGAAGGCCTAACATAGGAATATAAACCATTCTGGCTATGTTTTAATGTTGACGGTGGTGTCAAATGTCTCTCTTGCAGGGTCATCCAATTCATCAGGTTTTTTTTTCCATTTAACTGAAGAAAATCATCTTTTTGGGGTGGGGTGAGGGGTGGAGGGATTGGACTTCTTTCCTGGTGTTAACTCCTCCACAAACTCAACTGTGTAGTCTAATGAAGTCTGTGCTATAATAATACAGCTTCTAATACTACTGCTGTAGTTATCTGTTAATGTTTCTGTTTTTAAACCCTATTTTCAGAGGTTTTATACATCTGTCAGACAACTTGCTTCATTTTTTCATTAATTAAGCTGGTACTTTGCATGCAAGACTCATATTTTTCCAAAACAATTCTCACAGAAATAATCAGTTCAGCTTCTTCCAGTTTTCTATCTGGTACTTATAGGGCCTGTGTTATAGTAATAATTAAACACCTTATAAACCTTAATAAACTTATCTTCACAACACAACTGAAAGGAAGGGAAAATTACCACAACTTTGTGGATGGAGATTTGAGGCACAAAAAGATGAAGTAACTAGCCCAGGGTCACATAAAGAAATCTGTGAGAGAGCTGGGGATCAAAGGTAGATTTGCTCTGTCTAATTCAGTACCTTAACTGTAAGGCTTTCCTTCATTCCAAACAACTAATAGGCTTTATATTAGTGTCCCAAGTATTGACTACATAATTCTAGAAAAAAGGGCTGGTAAAAACTAAATTTTGTAATTAATACATGCTCCTGAACTTGTTGGAGGAAAAACACTTCAAAGGCATAAGTTAAAGACATCAGCAACGTTAAACATAAATCTTCCAGCTTTTGTCTTATCATTATTTAATTTGAAAGTACTGTTTAAATTTTGTAACTTTGAACATTTGGGAAATAAGTCAAAGTTCAGACTTGTAGTACTATTAATGTGTTTTGAGATTCAGGAGGTTTATCTTCCCTTTGATACAAGGATGTGCATAGCTCACAAACTTTTATTGTGGTGGCGGGGATGGATGTGTTCAATAGTTGGTAGAAAAAAGCCAGTATGGTGTATAAGGTCAGTCATGTGCTGAATGTGTATTTTGTGTAAGCAATATGAGTTCTTGACCAGAATAAAATAAATTTAGCATTTGACATAACAATGTCCATGCCTGTAGGAGTCAAATATAATGTAGCCACAGACAATACAGATGCAACAGACAGTGTTGCAGGTTGAAGCTTTGGTAATGACCGGAAGAGATGATAGAAATACTTTCTCTGAAGAAAAAAAAAAACTGGTGGGAGATCACTTTTCTTCTCCCCATCCCTCAAGTTGTGAGAAAGTGAGAAAAAAAAAAAAAAACCTTCACAAAAAGCATAAGAAGACTGTCATATTTAAAAAATTGGGGAAAAACAGACTAATGCCTCTGCTTCCGCCAGTATGTTTTCTGGGATAGAAGATAGTGATGTGTGCACTCTACTTTAAAGTATGTGAAGTACTCCTGGATGTTATGAAAGTTAGATGAACTCAGAATATAGCTTTCTGAAATTTTGTTTGTATTTCTATTTTTAATCTCTTTATGATGTCTTACAAAGAGCCTAAAACAGCTGCTATAAGTCTATTGTGTTAAATTTTGAACAACTTCTATAAAACCAAAACTGCCAGTAAAATGGGAGTTAATAGATAAGTAGGAGCAATAAAAACATACAGATTCAGGAGAGTTGAGGATATAATAAAATCCATATAAACTCATTTAAAAAACAAAAAAAAACCCTCTGTCATGCTGATTATCAAGAGCTTTCAATACATGTAGTGATGCGTGGTTTCTTGTGGGCAGAACACATGTTAATCTAGAAGTTTATTGCTCTGTTCTCTTGTTTTTAACTTTGACACTTTCAGAAAACTTGCTCCCCCACAGCTCTGCTGCATCTTTTATTTTTTATTTCCCCCCCCCTTTTCCCCTCCATGTGCTTTCTCATTTTCCTAGTCCAGGAAGGAGCAAAACCACTTCACAGGTAAACTTGCATTAAGTGTATTTGTTGGAAATGTTTATACTCAGTATATCAAGATCCTAAAAGAGTGTTCAAATCATATAATTCAAAATGGGGCATGATGGGTATCTTTGTAGGTAACCTTCCCTAGGAATAGTGTGACCAGACAGCAAGTGTGAAAAATTGGGAGGGAGGTGGTGGGTAATAGGAGCCTATATATGAGAGCCCCAAATATTGGGACTGTCCCTATAAAATCGGGAAATCTGGTCGCCCTACCTAGGAAGCTCTTTGAAAACACATTAATTTGGAATAATCCTATCTCTTCAAAACTTGCTCCTGTCTCATTTGCCACAGAGATGATTTAGCATCTAGAGAGGAGGAGAACCTCTACCAAAGACATTCAGATTAAGAACATCTGGGTCAAGCACTGACTATGGATTCATCCAGTTTTTTCATGTCCACCTTCCTTATGTCACCACAAAGTTGGAGCCAGCTCAGGGAAGTCAGGCAGAAATACACACACACATTTTGAACTGCTTAATCTCTTTGAGATAAAATAGGAATACGCTGTGTCAAAGTAAGCACTTACACAGGAAAAACAGACACTTGTACAAAACAGATGTCTAAAGACAACTTATATGCAGAAGAAAACATACTCTGGCATTTTTCCTTTTCTATGTGGGAAGGCGTTCTTTTAATGAAGGGCTGTAATTATCACTGGTGACTTTGTAAAATCACAACTCTTGTTAACACTTCTTTCAAATACAGAAGTCTTGATGAATTGACTAAGACTTAAGCTATGTCTACACTGTGCACCTTTTAGTGACACAGCTGTGCTGCTACAGCCATGCCGCTAAAAGGCATGCAGTGTAGCCGCTGTTTGTCGGTGGGGGAGAGCTCTCCTGCCAACAACTTCCACCCTTAACGAGCGGCTGTAGCTTTGTCAACAGGAGAGCTCTCCTGCTGACAAAGCGCTGTTCTCCCCGCCCCCCTGAACGACAAAAGTTTTGCTGACGAAAAGCACCAGTGTGGTGATTTTTTTTTTTTCACACCTCTGAACGACAAAACTTTTGTCATTCAGGTTCCAGTTTAGACAAAGCCTTACCGTAAAATACCCTGGAACATTGAGCCAATTGGTTGTAATATTTAGCCAACAGAATGACTCCTCTTCCAGGGAGAAGAAAGATTTCTTCTACAGAGTAGTGTCCAACGGATGTTTCCATTGTCACTCTTCAGAATGGAGAAATATTGAGTCTTTTATATGTTTCGTATTCTAATGTTTACACCTCTTAAAACTGACTTTTTTTCATAATTGTTCCTAGTAGCGTCCTTTGTACTATAGTGTCAGTTTGGACAAGACAAGCCAGTCTGCTGTATCTCTTAGTGCTCAAATAATGTACTTGCAACAGTCGCAGCATTAAGATGTTTTAGAAGTCTTAATTAATCTAATGCTCAGTATTAGCCCGTAATAGCTCTGGGCTGCTCCCTCTACACAGGAGACATTGGGAGGAAACACTAATCTAATTCAGACTTCCTTTCAGATAGAATTGTCTTTCTCCACGCAGAGGCTTTTCAAAGTCAGCTTGACTACAAATGTCAAGGCATTGATAAAGATTGGTGCTAAAATTAGTTTATTGTATACTTTTCTCCCTAGAATGGATGGAAAGCCTGAACTCTGTCAGCTCAATCTATTTAGCTAGTTTTCCTAACTTCCATTTTTCCTGAGACTAGTAGTCCTGCAGTGCAATGTATCATAAATTAGAATTATGCATCCATAAAACACAGGTACCTGCATGGTATATAAGAACTAGTTCCTTATAAATAAATGGGAAGTTCTGTGCTAGTATATATAGCCATGGTGAATGCCTTAATTGATTGATCACGTGTCCCTTGGTCCAAGCAGCTGAGGATTCTCTTTGCACACCAGGAACAAAAGTGAATTCAGTCTGAACATGATTCCCTCTTTCAGCAGTTGGCAATCAGTAGACTGTGCACAACGTCAAGAAGCATCTAACAGTGTTGAGAGAAGATGGAAGCAATGAAGGTGTGGCATGATAGTCTGAGGGTAACTGTGGTCATGGGTGAAAAGGCCTGTCACTTCTGTAATGAATTTAATCGAATGTTGGCATGTCAAAACACTGAAGTTTCTGATGCTTTTTGAAAGTAATTCACCTTCACCTTGCTACAAGAATGAGGCCAGCTACTACAAAGATGAAAATGAACTAAAGACTGTGGACATGAAGCTTCAGGCACAAGGAGAGCAACAATAAGTAGTGGATAAATGTTGATTATCAAACAGATGATTGGAGATGAGGAGCCTTCTTTGTAAGGTATTAAACAGCACTGTTTGTTCTTGTGAAAATTATTGCATAGGTTTTTATGGTGAGGTAAATCAGCATTTAACTTAGAGCCTATACCGTTATTATTAGTGTGTTTGTGATTTTTGATTGCAAACTTAACATTGTTTAATGACAAAGCACTAACCCCACTCTTGACCACAAACTTTTTTATAACAGATTTCTATTTATACCATTATTGCTGAATGTGGAAATTCCCTGATGCTGAGATAGTCATGGAAGGATGAAAATATGAGTTTTTAAATCTGCTTTGCGTGGTCATTAAATTGTTATAATGCAAAACACACAACCCTATTTCTGATCTACAAACTGTTTCTATAAGCAAATTCTCAGTTCAGTTGGGAACCTCAAAGCCAGGTGCCACAACTGTAGTCCTCATGAAAGTGTGCATGGTTGCTAGTGAGGCTGGAAGCTTCTCTCTGAATCTGTCAAGCTTTTAAATGAGACACTAAAAAAATACTTAAACTGAGTAATAGGTTTCACTGACATCTATGCATGGCCCAGGCACTAATAAAACTAATCGGTGTATTGAGGAAATTCCCATTAATAGGGTAGTCAAAACAAATTCTTGAAATGGTTGATCTCTCTTGTATTTCATCTTTTTGTAGTCACTTGCTGTCACCTTAATAAAATCTCTTCCAGTTTTGCCACCAAATAGAAAAATGCTCTTCCATTCTATTTGTACCAAGAGAACATACCAACCTTTTCTACTGAATGAGAGTATCAATCAAATAATTACAGCTATTGGATAGGCCTTGGGCTTGCTCATAAATTAATTCTGGAGCTCAGAGGGGGCATATGTTCAAGTGAAATATCTGCTAGAGCTGTGATGCCACTTGCAATGGCATAGTTACAAAGATTAGTGTGTAATTTTTGAGTACCTATTGGTATAAAACAGTAATATTTAGAATTAAGGTGTTATGCATATTTGTAACGGTCAAAGAACCCAGTGATGCACTCATTCACAAATGCCTAAAACTAAGCTGCTAGGTGAATTTGTTTTTAAGAGAATAGATTTGGCTTTCTTAAAATAGTTCCACTTCAGTGTTTCAAAAAACAAAACAAAAACTCTAAATGAAAAGTCATAGCTTGCATAAAAGTTTAGTTTGTCTTGTGATGCAGCTTCTTCTTAGCGTATGTTCAACATGCCTCAGGTGGCACGTGACCAGGATTCATCACTGAATTTGGTCCGCTGGTTGGATCATTGGTTCCCCAGGCCAGATATTGATGGGGAGTGCAACGTGAACGCTGATCCATGCTCCCCTGTGATGCAGCTACTCAGTCCTAATGTAGCAAAATTATTCTAACAACGTTTTTGTTTTTCTCTTAAACATGGATTGAAATGGTGGATAAAGTACTGGTGTAGCTATCCTCTCTCATCAAGCCTTTGTCCAGGTAAATCCAGAGGTCAACCATGGAGCACTTTGTCTCCTGCTGGTAGTTATGCTGCCTGTCTGTAGGTCAAAGGATGAAAATGAGAACTAGTAGAAATGAGATTATTCTTGTTTTCCTCATGCATGAGCTATGCAAACTATTCCTAACTCTGGAGTGTTTCACTGCTGCTATCTAAAGAAATTACTATTAGATGGGAATGCCTTACCAGCAGATACCTGCATAAATATATTGTCAAATGATTTGGCACAACTGTGACTCAGCTCATCTTTCACCACATCTACTTTGCATGCCCTTCTTCGTACCATCATATCTCATGTATTACTAATGTATGACTGAAAGTTGTTAGAATGTGGATCTCCTCCATTACACAATCTTAATCTTTCGTCCCGTCCTTGCTGTTCTAGTACGTGTATATGGCTTTTTTAAACAGCTTGCGGTGAGACTTGGTCACAATGGGAATCTTCCATAAGCAGTATTCTAACTCACTTAAGTCCACAGAACTAGTAGAATTCGATTTTCATAGTTTTCTTAGGCACTCTGTGAGGGTGTTAAATTTCACCCAGTTGGGAATTGTCAGTGGTTTCTTATTTTACCTTTAGTCTAGTTTTTTAAAGATTTTTTTTGTAACAAACTGCTTGCAAAGGATGTCCTACATTGAGGCTTCCTTGTATTTTAAGACTTGCAAAAGTCCCTTAATAGCAATGGTTGCCTACTGAAAGGCATTTTTTTTTTTTGAGTACCCATATTTTCTGTAAAAAGGCAAATTTATGAGGGGAAGCATCTTTAATGATAGAGCCCTAGTTATTCTTCTTCTGGGGAACATGCTACTAGATTATGTAGCACAGCCTAAGAATTTTATCCATTATGATTGTGAATCATGCCTTCCAGACATGGAAGCTTACACTCACCTAAACCAGTGTAAAGTTGGTGTGTAGCTCTAAATGACCATCACCTTCCCTGGCTCCCAATTTGTTTTCACTAGGAAGCCTGCTGTCACTTGAAATTTGAATGCTATCTATACTAATCTGAACTTTGGTTGGATACAGTGGAGATTTATGGTTTTAAACTCCTATCCCATATTAAGTTTCCCCTCTTTAAGGTATGGAAAGAAGATGTACCTGTCCTGCTTACATGCTAAAAGCCCCAACTGCTGAGGCAGAAAACACTACCCTTCTTTAGCTAGCTGCCCAGATGTGTAGCTTTTGCTGAAAACTACATTTATAGTTACGCACTGTCATAAGAATGGCCACCCTGGGTCAGAGCAAAGGTCCATTTAGCCCAGTATCTTGTCTTCCAACAGCAGCCAATGCCAGGTGCCCTAAAGGGAATGAAAAGAACAGGTAATCATTAAGGCTGCGAGTCTGTCACAGAGGTCATGGAAGGCATGGGTTCTGTGTCTTTCTGGGACCTCTGCAACTTCTGCAGCTGGCAGACTGACCCCAGGCGGCCCCGGGACCAGCCGCATCACACCCCCCCCCGCCCCCCCCCCCACACACAACAGCAGTGGTCTTGGGCTGTCCCCCACCCCATGAGCAGCAGCAGCAGTCCAGGGCCGCCTCCCCCCTCCAGCAGCGGCAGCTCCTGGAGCATGGGCGGGAGCCCTGGAGGCCCCCCCTCCCCCGAGCACAACTGCATTTTGACAGGTGTGGGCAGTATTAAACTGAACTTCATATAAAATAACAATACTTTTCAGTGACTTGTTAGGTTTTAAAAAAAACAACAACAAAACTTACCTGACCATGCTGAAGAACGCTAAGGCAGTCTGTGACAGAGGGAATGGAATTTAAGTCCTACTTGCTAAAGACTTCACAGGCCTTCATATTAATTGGCACTCTTGTGCAAGTGCCATCTCCAACTTTCCCTTTCAGTGGCACATTCTACCATCTTCTGACTTGTTTTGAGGTAATAGTTAAAGCACAGCTTGTTTCTCAGTGCTTGTGTGTGAAGGAAAAGTAGTTCTATTAAGCAGGGCCCCTGCTGAGTCATCTGCTTTGACAAAATAGAAGTACAATTCAGTTCTTTGGCATATGGGGGTGACTCTGACATTCTACCCTTTGTATGCAAATCTGTCTACTTCTGTCATGACTTCTGCCCAGCCAACAGCCTTTGACAACAGGAAACTGGCTTTTGGGTGATCAATACTGTCTGTATTGCAGAATAACAGCATCACAAGGTGGATGTGTTAGGTCTGTAACTCCACCACAGTTGTTAAATTCCCCCTTCATGCTCCTTCCATTATCTCTGGGACCCCAATACCAATGACCTCTTCTAATCAGATTTTTTTAAGTGCCAGCTGTTGATTTAACTACACCGACCCCATGTTCCAATGAGTAATACTCTATTTTTATCCAGTGTCCACAAAGCAATAGCACTAGTCCATAGTGATTGCAGTCTACATACACATAGGCAATTACTGTAATAACGGGCCAAGCTCCTCACAAATAAAATTAGTCGTATTCATTTACTGTCCCATTTCACAAATGTAGAGTCAAATTGGTTCAAAACTCTGAACTTCATCTGGTCATAGGTCTTGTTTGTATATCGGGGAGTCTCAACATTTAGATCCTGCTGGTTAAACAGGTAGCTGTAGGTGCCATCTATGATAGATAACCTCTCTGCTACTTCACTGTCAACAGCACTCTTCTTTCAAAGTGTTGGTATAAATTAGGATAAATGGCTCCTCCATAGAAGCATCGACATTGAAAATAGCATATAGTGTGATTGATAGCCAATACTGTGCTGACAAATGTCTAGCGGTCTGGACATGTTGAAAGCCTCTAAAATTCAGTGCTTCCGCATGTTTTGCTGAGGTACTGCCCAGGAATGCACATGCACAAACGAGGTTGTGTGGAGTTGCATGGGATCATACCTCCATCTTATGCCAGTAAATAACTCTTGTGGACCCACTGAACTCTATTAGGGGTAGCCACCTACTCCTCAACCTTTACAAATGATATTTGATGCTTCCGGAAAGCAGTATTGGAGGGGTGTGTGGAAGGTTATTAGCAATAATTGAACTAAAGGAAAGAATATTAACTGCACCTTCCTGTACTGTTCTGTCAAAGTTCTTGTTTTTATGCCTGGTTTTAAATAAACGTCCCTCTCCACCTCCAAATATTTTAAACAATTTGCATATGTCAATTTAGAAGACAACATCCCCTTATAATGGATCCAGAACCTTGGGGAGCACTCTTCCCCTGGGGAAAATACATTTATCCTGTTTAATGTCTGTCTCAAACTTAATTTTATGAAGTGTAGGGCAGGAAGGTAGATAAAGTCCAATTCAATAAGTCTCAAATATTGGTTAGCTTTTTGGCTTTGGTTTGGTTATGTAGTGAGAGGGAAGATGTCTCAGGATTTATCATCGATACAGAGTTAATGTAGGCTCTTATTCAGGTGTTGCGCCTTACCCCCTCTCTGAGGCTTTGTCTACACTGGCAAACAAAGTTTTGTCCTTCAGAGGTGTTAAACTCTCCCCCTGCCCCCCCGAAAGACAAATGTTTTGTCAAGGAAAAGCACCGGTGTGAACAGCACTTTGTCAGCAGGAGCGCTCTCCTGCTGACAAAACTACTGCTGCT